CAATTTTGTTTCAATGGAAGTTTCCATCGGCAGATTGAGGGTGTAGCGATGGGCAGTCAGTTGGCCCCACTTTGACTGACATATACGTACACTATCTAGAGAACACCAAATTGTGTCACTCTACATGAAGCTCACTAGTACGTTCAGGTCAAATCGATAAGCTTTATGCGACCAGATGGATGCATTTTCAGCATTTTACACTATTTCCCATAAATGTGATAAAAATGCACCAGTAAATATGAGAATTTTGCAATTTTAATAACAAAAGGGTAAAGAGTGTACAGATGTCACATAAGTAATCAGTAACGCATCTTCGAACAACGACCGCATATTGACAGAACAAATTATAAAATTGTTCATCCAGTTGATGATGCCAATTTCTGTTAAAGCGTTTATTGATAACTGGTTTCATTTGGATAAAAGCAGCAAACTGCGAGTTATGTGTGGTGTCATGGATACTTTCTCGAAGAATCGGTGAGGATCAGCGGCCTCAGTGACCTTGAAAGTGTTCATGCAAAGAATTCGTCAAAACATTTATGCAAAATTGATTCGATTGCAGTAGATAACTCAAAAGTGGTGTTTTGGGGAGGGTGGAAACAGCCAATTCAAAAGTCTCGCCTTTGATGACACCTTTGTGATGGTGGAAGAATCACAGCAAGCGGAACGCATGCTCGAAACTTTAACGAATGTCATCCAGAGATCGAGTTGACCATGGAAAGCGAAACAGCAGGAAAGTTCCACTTCTTGAATGTAGCTTGGGAAAGATCAGATGGGTCACCCCTGAGATCAATGTATCACAAACCGAACTGGACGGGTCAATACGTAAACTTCGACAGCTACTGCTCCATGAATACTGAATACTGGTTCGAAGCAGCGAGTAGAGCTTTCGCTGTGTAGCTGCATCATTCGTCGCTCTTGGACATATGCTCCTTATTTATCGTTCCGCTCTCTATATTTTGCCTCTGAAAAGTGTTTGTCTAGGAGCTTCTTAAATGCGGACACTGAGTTCGCCTCTACTATGTGCTGCGGCAGGTCGTTCCAGACATTCACCACTCTGCGTTCGAAACAGAGTTGGTGAGCGACCCGCTTCAACTTCGGTACAATAAGTTTATACCGGTGTCCTCGCGTGCAGCTTGGTGTGCACAGATGAAGCAGTTTTCTCAACATGGGGTAATCACCCAGATGTAATATCCGGTGCGTCATGATGAGGTCAACCCTCAGCCGACGATAAGCTAAGGTGTACAGCCCTAGTTTCTTACATCGGTCTTCGTATGGCATACCTTGTAAGTTGGGAATCAGCCTGGTGGCTACATGCTGCACCCGCTCAAGCATTTCTACCTCGCCCCGGGTGATGAGACAATACGCGGGAGAGCCGTACTCTAGCACTGGTCGTATTATCGAGACGAAGAGGCGAGTGGCAATCTCTTCGGACCAAGTGCTGAAGCTGCGCCTGAGGGCCCAAAGCATCCGAAGGCTGTTTTGGTACAACCTATTCGTGTTGTCAATGGACTTTAGGTCGCAGCGTGAGAGTACACCGAGGTCGCGCACGAAAGACGCGGGATGCAACGGTTGACCAGCCACTGTGTACGTTCGGCTGTGTTCACACTTACCCAGCCACATAAATTGCGATTTGGCAGGGTTGATCGGAAGGTTAACCTCTGCAGACCATGTCGAGAGGCGGTCGAGATCCTGCTGAAGTAAATCACAATCATTGAGTGTGCGGATTAACCTCCATACCTTCAAGTCATTTGCGAACAACGCACAAGGTGATTGGAGTAGCTGAGGCACATCGTTTACATGGATCAGAAACAATATCGGCCCCAGTACAGTGCCTTGGGGCACGTCGCTGCTCGATGGATACCAGTCCGTTAGATGGTTGTCCACCTGGACCCTCCACTTCCGATCAACAAGGAAATTTCTGATCCATTTGTGCAGCGAACCACCAACACCGCACATCCTCAGCCTGTCAAGAAGCACTGCATGGTTAACCTTGTCAAAAGCTTTACTGAAGTCAATGTAAATGACGTCGACCGGTTGGTCTTCGTTCAGCGCTTGTAACCATTCGTGCCTCGTCAGCAGTAGGTTGGTGATGCACGAGCGATCTTTCATGAAACCATGCTGTGCAGAGGTCAGGTTTTTCGACTCGAGAAGCTGCAGAAGGCTCTTCTTCACGATCTTCTCGAGCGTCTTTGCCAAAACAGCGAAGAGGCAGATCGGCCGGTAGTTATCCACTTTACTTGGGTTACCACCTTTCGGTATGGGCTTTACGACTGAGCATTTCCAGTCGTCCGGCAACAGTCCAGTGGATAGTGACCTGTTAAACAGTTCAGTTACAGAAGGCGCGATGATGGCCGATAGGGACTTGAGGATCAGTGGGTGTATACCATCTGGCCCAGCAGGCTTCGTCCCGTCAAGATTTGATAGAAGCTTGCGTACATCCTCAATATTGCAGTCCAGGCTTTCAAGTTCGGTTGGAGCGGTACTCGTCGAACTCGTTACAGACACCTGATCACTTGCAAATACGGAGGCGAAGTGCGCCGCCAATGCGGACGCACGATCTGTACTCGAGGTTAGGGGCTATCCTTCTGAGCCTTCTAACACTGGGACATTGGCTACAGACCTCAGGCGCCACTTCACGTATGCGAAGATCCTCTTGGGAGCAGTTTTTCCGGCGGTTGCAAGCTCCTCTTCGAAGCTTCTGTGTTTCCTTGTTTTAGCGTTGTTGCAGCGATTTCGCTGTACCTTGTACGCATTGTAGTCCTCATCAGAGCCAGATAACACGAATTTGTTCCATAGTCTGCGTCGCCGTCGGGCCAGTTTGTTGTACTCTTTGTCGAACCAACGTGGTTTGACTGGCCCAACTTTCCGAAATTTGAGGGGTACAAATCGGGCGCACAACGATTTCACTCCCTCTTTAATGATAGTCCAACAGGTTTCAATAGATGGATCTCGTGGTAAAGACCAGTCTATCTGGCTCTTTTATGGGGATCGAATCCACGACATTCGCGCTATTAGCACGACGCTCTAATCAACTGAGCTACCGGGCCATAAACCGGGGACCTTCCACGTGTGAGGCGCTCCCTGGTTCGTGCATCTTTTGTGAGACAGTAGTAGCTATGCAGAGGAAACGATTGATGAAGAACTACAGGGTGAAAATGGGTACCATGACAAGTTTGTTGCAAAGTATGGGGAGAAAATCAGGCCGCACGAAGAGTAAACTGAAGCTTCAAAGGTATTCAGTGCACTGCCTTACAAAGGGGAGGAAAAGGACAGACGTTTCTGCTATCGCTTACGTCATGCCGTAAAGAGATGTCATTAGACAGCTGAGTTTGTGCTGCTCCACAGAATCAAAAAGCTGCTACATGAATCTAATTTGGACACATCTCACTCTAATGTCACTGCCTCATAGGTTGACCAGTTTAACTGTACTGGCGGTAGCATGTACATTGGTCGGACAGAGAGGTGATCCACTCGGATTTCAGAACACGTTCCGAGGAACGTTGCACTCAGTGGCGCAACATTACCTGCCAGTTCTGTTGCCCGGCACTTATTCGACTGCTAGATTTGCCAGAATACCCGCGAAACATTCAATGTCATTAACAGACAGTGTAATCCCAAGTTGTTGCGTTTTGTTGAGGCATCAGCTATCCGACGTTTGAAGTCTAACCTATGAAAACGAGTTTGTGGCCAACCTTGCCTTGTCTTGGTGAGTTAAGACAGGCTAGCCAACGCAACTAACCATCGATTTCTGTTATTGACCTATTACTCCCAACCATTTGAAATTTCCACCCATTGTATGTAAGCATCTGAAGAGAATACACGAAATATAATGAATTCAGATTATTCCGCAAGAATGCTTTTTGTTCTTGCTTAGTTAAAACACCGTAATCAAAAGCAGTATAGAGAGCACGAGACATCATTGCATGAAGGTAAATATTAAACAGGACAGGAGCTAAGACACAGTCTTCCTTCACATCGGAGACAACAGCAAAATCATCCGAGGTTTGTCCATACAGCTACACCCTCGCCCGCATACCATTGTACAGATATTCAATTAAACTTATAAACTTACTCGGACACCCAAACTTATACAACACCAGCCACGGTGCCCCGCGGTTCACCGAACCGAATGCTTTGAAGCCAACAAACAGCGAGTACATTGGCTGGTGTCGCTCTCGGCATTTCTCTTAAAGCTGGTGAGCCGCGAAAACCATATCTATGGTGCTGTATCCCGAACGGAATCCGCATTGCTCTTCCGCTACGTTCGGTTCAACAAGCTGGATGACGAGGCGGTTGAGCAGGATTCGAATGATCACTTTCCATACACAACTCAGCAACTTAATACCATGATAGTTCGTGATATATTGCTTGCTTCCTTTGCCCTTGTACAGTGGTAGCACGAGGGCAATCTTGAGGTCAGCCGGTACAACTTCTTCAAACCATGCGTTCTGCACCAAGTGGTGCGCCGCATTTACTAACGCTAGTCCGCCACATTTCAATACTACTGGCGGTATCGCGTCAGCTTCAGCGCATTTGCCGTTGCGCAGCTCAGCAAGTGCGCTCCGCGTCACACAGTGTATAGGTGGCGGCAAGACACATCTTCGATTCTTGCTGTTGCAGCCCGAGCTACATAGCCAATACAATCTTTTAACGGGTGTTCAAAAGACAGCCAAAGAGCTTTCGCGAGATCTGCATTATGTATGCAGGCAGCGGTTGAAGTATCAGCAAGAAGCGTTCACAGCGGCAGCAACGTGGGTGCATACACCGCCTCCAAGAAGTCAAAGAGTTTCTTGTGTTGCCGGTGTTCGGTGTAGCATTCCATCCGCTTCGCTTTCTCTGTCCACCATGCATTCTCGAAGCGACGAAGCTGTCTAGTCAATCGCCGTCGAAGTTCACGAAAACGACTCTCCTCCTCTGCATCGGCAGGGTCATTCATAAATAAATAAATAAATATATAGACAGTCACAGAACTTGCGGATTGGGCAGATAGGCAAACTTACCACTAAGGACTGCAGGTGTACAAAGACTTCTTCACATAGATGGTCAGGTGTACCGGAAAAATCAAGTTGATAAGCGCTCAAAGAGTACTTGGATTCAGGTGCTTCTGTGAGCCGCCGAGGAGGCTGGAAGCAAAGGGGTAATCATACGGTGTCAGCGACATACGACAGTCAAGAGAATCAGACAGACGCGTAGAATCTCGGAACCTGTCCAGAACTGAGAACGAAGTTCGTTCGCACAAGCGTTGTTGGTGACTAAGAGCATGATTCGTTAACGTGAACACAGTCTAACCCCCGGCTTCTTCAAGCGAAAGTTGTAGTTGAATGCAGGTGTTTAGAGCACCTGGCCAATCACCTAAACGGAAGCGGTCATACGTGAAACCATGAGTATGAAACGTACGCAAGTGTAATTGACAAGTGATCATTTTGCGCAGTATTGTAAGGGAGCACAATAAATCGCGGGATACAATTTCCGCACTGCGCTGAAGGTAAAATAATGCTTCTCCCCACTTGCGGCGATGCTTGAAACAGGTATGTAAACTAGGTGAATGCACTCACCATAAGCGTAACTGACAGCAAGGTGAAAACATTCGCAGCCAAGGTGAATAGCTCTTGGCTTTCATATATTCTGGCTGCTCTTAGGAGGCACACAGTAGAGCAATCGATATTGTCCTCAAAACTGATGGCATTAAGTTGATCTAAATCATCCTCGGCTTGCACAAAATGTTCAGACGCAGTGATAAGAGTCGATGCTTCGGCCAGTACATTGTTTGTGCCACCCTCGGATCTGTGGTAAGAGAGAAGGGGGTAGAGCGAGGTTCGATGTGAAGATGGTAAGATGACCGCATGAGCTGAGAGGATAGAGTGACCAACCAAGAAAATCGGAAAGGAAACACGTCTCATGAAAATGCTGGCTTTTCGTCAGAAAATGAATTAGCAGAGTAGCTTAATGAAGTTGTTAAGCGCAGTGTACAAATTGTGACCAGGGCCACACTCCCCTCCACGCAGTACACGTGTCATGCACACTTCATGCATGTTACGCTGACGTATGATGACATAGTCGAGCAGGTGAGCGTGACCACTCCGTGGGTGCGTTCAAGTTGCTATATCATTCGCACTCAGTGCAAACAGAGTGTTCGTGATCGTGAGGCCGTAAGTGGCACACAGTGAGAGCAGCCTGTCACCGTTTGCATTCTATGAACCAATGCCATGCGGACCGATAACATCTGTCCACACCAGTACATCACGGTCAACGCGCGCGTTGAAATCACCCAGTAGAAATAATCGGTCGCTCTTTGGCACAGGCCGTATCACGGAGGATAGCAGAGAGTAGAATTGAGCACGCGCGTCATCAATATAACACATGGTCGGAAGGTATGTGCTTTTAGAAGTGGCAAACTTACCTCTTGCGAGTCGTAAGCGAACAATCAGTCGCGCGCTGATGACTGTTGGTTCACCCACCAGCTGGCCACGGAGGCGATCGGATATTGCAAACCCGAGCCCATGTTCACGTGGTGGCGAGGCAGGGTTGCCCACCCAGTAGAATGTGTAGCCAGCACCTGCTTCATGCAACTTAGCTTCCTCAGCGAGCCGAGTCACACTGAGCGCCGCAATATCGATGTTATATATATATATATATATATATATATATATATATATATATATATATATATATATAGGATTTCGCTGACAAGTACACTCCCGCCATCTTTGAATAGAACCGGTGGTAGGCTGTCGGAACACGGAACCTTGTGGCGTTTCAAAGTGGATTGCATTTTAGATCTCTGCTTCATTTGGGGGGGGGGGCGTGGAGACAGGTCAAGCACCATCCATTGGGAGTGGAGGTGTCACAGGGGGCTGCATTGGGTGGTTGAATTGAAGAGCGAAATGCTCTGCCCAGCAACCCAATCTCCGTGAAGGTTAGTGATCTTCGTGCCGTCTGATTCGCAAATCGTCTGGCTGATAGTGTGGAAATTGCAACCGGTGGCGCTGATGATGTGAAATAGACGACGGAAGTTGCTAGCTAATGCAGCGGCTTCCATCTCATCTGCTTGTTTTGACCACCGAGATTCACGATCAGTGCGAAGGCTTGCTTTCAGCTGTTGCTTAATAGATCGGCGGTGTTCGTTGTACTCTGCACCAGCAGGAGCTGCCTGTCGGCGATGCAGCAATTCCGAGGATCTTCCCGAGATCCAGCTTTTGGGAGTGGAGCGAGCGAGGCCACAGCTGGACAAACGGGTCGACAGCAGGGCTTGTTGCAGCTTTGATCAGTGTTGATCAACATCCAGAGTGTCAGAGAGAGCGAGATTTGCACGAAGTCTTTGTTGATACTCTCAATGGGTGTTCAATCGGGTGTGTTTGGACCTAGGTGAACCACCGAAACGCATGCAAACGGTCGCACATACAAGTGCATGATCGGCATCGACGCATGTTGATCAAAATGATCGGCAGTCGCGTACGCTGCCGTGCCACCTGCGACTTATAGCTATGTGGTCAATCTGTGACCACCGCTGGGTTGGTGATGGGGAGCGCCAAGTGGCGTACTGGCGTCCAGGATGACGAAGCTCGTGATGAAGAGGAAACGCTGATGATCAGCACACAGACTGAGCAGTCTCTCTCCGTTGTCTGAGCGAACATCATCATATCCATGCGGTCCCCGAGATAACGCTCACATGGCAGCAGACGACCGACACGCGCGTTGAAATCTCCTGCCGAAAACAATGTTTGTTTTAGGATCAGCTCATGAAGGTTCTGGTAGAACTGGTCTTTGACGGTGTCCGAGCTACAGTCAGTGGACGCGTAGGCAGAGGTCATGAAGGGAGCACACTTTTCGACTCGACGTCTGCTAACTTTACAAGAGCCGTGGAGCCTCATCGCACATAGGCGACGATTGATCGGAATCCAATCAATCAAAGCAATCTTGGCTCTAGCAATGAGGGCGATTCCAACACCAGCTTGCCCAGATGCGGTAGACTCGGCGTCACCAGAGAGACGGAGATGGAAGCGAGTGCGTGGGTGGAGCGGTGAGACCAGCTGGTAGACCGAGTTAGAGTCCTGGAGTCGTGTTGCATTCAGGCAGCAGATATCAATTCCAAGGGTCTCTAGCGTGCGTGCAACTCCAGCTTGCTTACCGATCTGCAGTAATGTGCGTACGCTGAAGGTTGCAAGTTTGAACTGCGTTCCGGGTTGCAGGAGCGAAGATGGGAAACTTTAGAACTGGCAGCTCTCTGTTGTGCACTGTGTGGTTGAGTTGGCAGATGTCACGGAAACAGGTTCATCGGTGTATGTGGGGTTGATCGCCATAGAGGAATCAGGCAAAATGGCTGTGAATGGTACAAGGGAAGGGTAGGTAAAATGGTGGCGTGTGCTTGTGAAGTTGGCATAGTAACATAAGTGAATAGCATCGTAGCAGCAAGGGAGCGAGTGAATGGTTGTGGTTGTAAGTCTGTGGTCCGTCAGTGGGCGAGATACTACCCGGTTGCCTAGGTCGAAGTAGAGAGTTGTCTTAGGGGGCCCCACCCCGAGTCTTTGATCAAGGATCTAACCTACAAGGCAGCAGGGCGATATAAAGGTATTGCAACCCGTTGGGAGCCGGTGAGCAAACAAGTGGTTCATGCGCCTTTAGGACCGCAAAGGACCAGAGGCCCAACACACCTTTGAATTACAATACCACTGAGAGAGAGGCAAGGAGCAGTGACTTAATTTGGTGGCGAGTCACATCCGCCATGTCATAGTGTTGTTAAACGGACATATGTGGCTTTCTATAGGGAGAACGCTTGCCAGGCAAAAAACCACCACGCCTTGGAACACTGTCGACAAACCATTCACTGGAACGGGATAATCCCGAACCACGCAGCTGGCACCACGAGGTTGTTCGGCAAGCCAGCCACAACTATTAATTAAGCTGGGAAATATAGAGGGAATTTTAATAATGGGGATCAGGAGAGGAGTAAGAGAAAAAGGTGGAAAATAAAGAAGGCAAGGACCAGCAGTATCATGTTTTCGCTTACCATCCCTTCTGTATGCAGTAGTTAAGGCGACCCTTGATAAGTTGTGCGAAGGCCAATTCAGGAGGTGGTTGAAGTTTGAATGAATAGTCATAATTGTGTGTGGGCTGAGATACTGCCAGGGCGCCCAAACCTTGACAGAACGATTAAAGTTTTCAACCCAAAACCTTTGGCTCAGAAACCAGTTCGCAAGGCAGCGGATGTGGAAACAATTCGGTTTAACAGAAGTGGACGCCATCCGATTTCAAACCCTCAAGCTAGAAGACCAGGAGACTAAGTTTGTCTGACCTCTGACCTGGTAGCAGTAGCTCTCACGTGGACTGAGCGCCCCACCCATTATAGCTCAATGGGTCGACTAGGTACGTAACCCGTTAAGGTCCAGTCTCGCTGCGACGGCAACAATATGAGAGCATATTTATTTTTGTTGTAACGCCGTCCGCATCCGTGCTCTCTGTGCTGCCAACCCAGTCGGGGAAGAAACAAAACACCGACCCTACTAGGCCGAAATGTAGTAGACACATAGCACGGTTCATCGTATAGGTCACAATCTATCATCATCTGTTGTAAGTTCTTGAGCTGACTCAAAGCCACTTGCGTGGGCAGATTTCACACCCGCTTGCAGTCCGCACTGGCCAGCTGTTATCGCGCCCTGTCAAGTAGCAACCTGTTCCATGCTGAATGATTGATTTCATCAGCGTGACTTGGCCGTGCTACCGCCGGTCGGGTAGGAACTCGTGTCCTCGTGACAGGCGTCCCGAAACCGTGTCACGTTCTTACGTTGCGGCCTCCGATTACTTCTATATCTCAAGGTTTCTAACATGTCTGTGTTTTTAAGCAGCGTTCTGTCATGTTACTAATGTCTATATTTAATTCCTGTTCTCCGTTTGGTGTTCCCTAACAATATGTGAACACAAACTGGAAAAATAATTAAACCTAGACATTCGTAACGCACTATTACGTCGCTAAGTAATAAAAGTGGATTTAAAGACCTTGGGATATAAAAGAAACGGCGTCGATCAGAGAAATACTTGAATCCTCCAGCGAACATGCAGTGATAGGATGCATTTCTAGGCTCAGCGACTTCATCAATACACATAATCCGAGGGGGAAAACACAATTCAACTAATGTGACGCAATACAAAACAGATAAGACATTAAAAAGTACGGACAACAAGAACTGAAAAGACAAGTAAAACAATGATGGGTATAATGTTATGCATTGTGTATGAGATGGTTGTTAGATGTGGAATCTAAAGGGGAAAAGGAGGGGCGAAGAGACACAACGCAAACGCCACTGAGGTAGGCTCTTCGTCATGCCAAAAAGTGTATGCAGCCAAACGCATTCATACTCCTTCGGATCTCAGCCTGGCAGTCACGAGATAGCAACCGATGCAAACTTCAAACTGAGGGTTTCCATTCTTCCTGATCAAGCCATTGGTTGGCGTCCCCTCTTCTTCTTCTTTCATCTAGACGCCAGTAGTGCAAACGGTGCACGACGCGGGAGTCAGTGTTCCGGTATGCGCAACCCATGGTTCAGCTATCGGTGATTAACGCGTAAGATGATGATGCTGAACGGTTCACTCGCTCTTCCTACACCAGACACGACACCGAACATATCGCCAAAGCCATGTTCCCAGCAGACATGAGCTAAGCTTTGAAGGCAGCGATGGTCCAACGTATAGAGCCTCTTTAGGCCTGTCGATTTGATAGGCTGCATTGCAAGCTCTGCCCTTCAGGGCAAGAGTGGTACCGGCGCCACAAGTGGCGGTGATTGGCAAAAGCGCCTCAAGCATTTGACATGCCCTTTGCGACCTAGTCTTATATTCCGCAGATGCTAATATAACTGCCTAGTTGCTGAACGACTTTTCACTGATCAGCACCGAGAATAAGTGCAGAGGAGGTTCTCTGTCAAGCTTAAAGGACTTTTCATTTCGAAAATGCAAGTCATGGCCCAAAATGACTGACAGTCGAAGCTACTCTATCCAGTGTTGCTTGGCACACTTGGGAGTTATCATTAATAAAGGCTATGTTGTCGACACTTCAAGCCAAGTCACTCACTAGGAAGTAGCTCCACACATTGTAAGTCATGTTCAGCAAACATCAATACCATGACTTCGTCAATGTCTAAGTCAAGGAGGAAAGGTGACAGCAGGCGTCCTTGTCTCACACTGCTTGAGACATCGGAGGGCGACGACAGCTTGCTAAAAACCCTCAATCTGTCTGAACTAAGCGCTTGAAGCACTCTAATAATGCTTACGTATTTATCAGGCATACGTCCCCTGAACAGTCTCAAAGCGCACATCGATCTACCGAATCGAATACGCCTTTGATGTTGAAAAACACTGCGACGATAAATATGACTGGTACAACAACGGAACCGATGGAGCTGACAAGGGATCTCCCTCCTGCTCTTAATATTCCAATGAATTCCAATAGACAACTGACGTAAAATAAATATGTGGTCAAAGCAGCCTCGAGTTCGACGAAATCCGGATTGCACCTTCGCGAATGTGGCTTTCACGGGTGCCAGCCAGTCGGGGTAGAAAGATAGACCCAAACAATTTGGGGGCAATTGGAATCACCCCGATTCCTCTATGATTACTAAATACCAAGCGTGAGCGTCCCTTGAAAACCGGGGCATCAACGGAGCGGCTTCAGTCTACTGGGAGTCTCTTGCTCCAACAACTTCACTAGTAATTTGTGAAAATCATCCACAAGAGCAGACCTGAATTCAGAGGGATGGAGGAAGTCTATCTAATCCAGCAGCATTATTTAATTCCTACCCTCTGATCTCACGTTCGATCTATGCGTGTGATGGCGGGTCCAAGGAGGAGGCCCAGAGAGAATGGCAAACAATACTCAAACAGGAAGATAATAACTCATGTTGGGTAAGCGGTTTTAACTGTTCGGCCCAACGCTCCAAGTGTTTTGACAAGCTATTGGCCGGGTGTACAATATCGTTGCGTATATAGCCAACAACAAGTCAGCTGGTGACCGTTATGATGGTTACCAACGGTAGCGGCTATTTCCATCTTAGATGCAAGAGAAAGCCACCAGATTACCCGGTCTCTCAGCAAGCTGGAACTCAGCTTCGAGCGGAGACCCCATTTGCTCCTGCTTGGGTAGGTTTCCACGCGGAACACATCGGCTAGCATTCAGTTCGAGAGACGGCACAGACATCCAAAGTTAAGGTTGGAAATGTGACCTATCAAATGTGATGCCCGCTGATAGTAACGTCTGGCGAATATGCGATCAGCGAACTTCAAGTTTGGTTAAAATTGTTCGCTAAGTCATGGGACGATGCAAAATACAGAACGAAACGAGTGAATATTTCTTGGCACGATACTTCAAGGTAAGAAGTATATATATATATATATATATATATATATATATATATATATATATATATATATATATATATATATATATATATATATATATACTTCGGTTCGTAGGGGAGAGACCAGCAAAGCCCCGCAAGTAGCAGCGTTTAAATACACTCAACTTTCTAACCTCATCACGCAGAGGCCGAGTCTACAATCCATACGGCAACACTTGCTGCGATGCGACGCTGTTGCGGGCTTTTAAATGACTAATTTCGCATAAACTCAACTTAGGATAACGGCGATAAGGAATCACAGATTTCATCAACACCTGCGGTGATGGTGCTAGGCGGTTATAAAGAAGTAAATCTGCATACAGTGCGATCCGTGGTTACAATCACGTTAGACAGTATTATGAAAGAATCAATCCATATCAAGGTACTGATATGGTAAATACTTTGCTACTGAAGGACGTCATCACCATCATCATTATACACATCCGCTAGAGGTGAGAAACAACTCAGCTACTGAAGGACGGGTGATGAAGAAGTCCGATTTTCGAACGTATGGCTAACTTGAGTGTAGTAGGTGGTATTTTGTGGTAGTCGAGCAGTGGCAGCAACTAGCTTATATGAAACACTACGTTGTTGCGCGGCAGCCGAAAGGTAAGAACAGGCCATTTTACTGACGAAGGATAAGATAAGGAATCCCTGAGGAGAAAAGAGCTAGGGCGATCGAGAATAAAAATTAGTCGCACCGTCAAGGAATAAACAGGAACTGATGGTTGCTAAAGCGATGACGTTTTCTAGAATCCATCTAGCGATGTACGCATCGTCGGAAATATGAAAAAGGAACGCATTTGAGCGTAGTATAGAGTAGACTATGAGCCAACTGAACCAGATAGCTTGTCATACGTGATTGTCAGACTATACGGTAGATAGGATTTAGGGTGACAATTAATTTTTGTGGAAAGTAGGTAAAAGAGGAGGACAAGTTTAGTACTGTGAAACAAGAAAAATCATCACCCCGAAATAGCACGAACACGATGATACTACTCGGCATCCGATTAAATAAACTTGCCTTGCTTTGCCTAACAAAAATACGGCGGTCAAATCAGGACAATTCTGGTTGAGTAAACTTTTTGCTAAACAGGCTGTGAAGTACACTGAATCCGCCACTTTGAAATCAATTACCAAAATCTCCACCGGGATCATCCAGATCAGGCTTTCGGAAAATACTCCTAAACAAAAAGGTGTTAGACGAAAAGGACACCCAACTTTTTTACGGCCATGTTGATCATTTTGTAAATGTAGGCATAGTCTACTTCCGAATCCATTCAGTGTGACAGGCGTCTGTAAGAAAGAAAAGAGAACAACTTTGCGTAGGATCTGTCGTTAGAAATGTTATAACCATCGTTTTACACGTTAGTAGTGAGAAGCACGTCAGTGAGAGTAAAGATGTATGGGTGGCACCTAGAATGTATGTATGTTCATTCATGATGCATCTTCACCGCAGTTGGGCTAAACCAACTTACACTTAAACTAGGTCATTTTCAACTGGGTAAATTTCATTCCACTTTATTTGGTTTGTTCTACTTACCTGACTAATCTTCTATTAACTAGCCACGTTGCTTATGAAAGTTGTGGTTATCTTCGTTAACTTTAATGTGTTTGTAGCATATTTTGAATAACAACTGGACATTGTGTACTTATCGCGGATTCTTTGCTAACCAGCTTACTTCAAATGCTAACTGAGGGAAGATTTATGTCTGCAAAGTCGTATTCTTTAACAGATATATTTTAATGTACTGATGAATACGGGATTTTGATATGGATAACTGAGGTGCATCAGAGCCAGCTTCCAAATCAGAAAGTCGTCTACATGCCCGGAAAAGCACTAGACTGCAGTATCAGCCTGTTGGGCATCATCAGTAGTGCGCGCCCATCGGATTCATCAGCATTCGAACCCATGAGCACCAGCACTACTGATGATGCCCAACAGCCTGAAATTGCAGTCTAGTGCTTTTGTGGACATGTGGACTACCATCTGGTTTGGAAGCTGGCTGTGATGCATCTCAAGTATATATATCAAAATCCCCTACTCATTAGTACATTAAAACCAATATCCGTTAAAAAATACGGTTAGGGAGACATAACTCTTCCCCCAATTAGGATTTGAAGTAAGCTGGTTAGCAACGAATAAATTCAAGTGATTGACCGTTATTTGACACCCCAAAAGTATGACTGTGCTTGATGCGCATGTTGACACCACTGCAAAACTTCACGAAACGCATCCCGATTGAGGAGGAAATGCCGACTGAACTGAAGGATGCCTTTGTGCTACCACTGTACAAGTGCAAAGGGAACAAGCAATGTTGCACGAATTATCGTGGCATCAACTTGCTGAGTTGTGTGGGCAACGTGATTGAACGATCCCTGCTCAAGCGCCTCCACAGCCAGGTTGTGGAACCTAACGCGGCGGAAGAGCAGTGTGGATTCCGTTCGGGTCGCAGCACTATAGATATGGTGTTTGCGGCTCGTCAGTTGCAGGCGAAGTGCAGAGAACGACACCAGCCGTTGTACACGCTTTTTGTTGATTTCACCAAGGCATTTGACACGGTGAACCGCGAGGCCTTGTCACTGGTGTTGGGTAAGTTTGGTTGCCCGCGTAAGTTTGTAAGTTTAATTGAATGTCTGCACAGTGGTATGCGAGCGAGGGTGCAGCTGAGTGGAGAGACCTCGGATGACTGTGCAGTTGTCTCTGGTGTGAAGCAAGGCTGTGTCAGCTTCTGCCCTATTTAATATATATGTTCATGCAATGTTGTCCTGTGCTTTTGATGCCGCTTGTGCTTACGGTGTTCGTGTGGAGCACCGTATTGATGGTGGGTTGCTGAACATACGTCGTTTCGGCGCGAGAACTCTAGTCTGTGAGACAACTATCCGTATGTTGCTGTTTGCCGACGACTGCATTGTTTGCACACAGTACGGATGAGTTGCAGCACATGACTAGTGTTCTGGCTTCGACAGCGGCAAAATTTGGGCTCACCATCAACACAAGCAAAACTGACTTTCTCTTTCAGCCTTCTCCGGAGGTGCAATCTTCAATATTGCCGCGAATCAGCATTGGTGCTGAAGTATTAGAAACCACCTTCCACTTCTGCTACCTTGGGAGTGTGATGTCGACTGATCAGCAGCTACACAGTGAGCTTCGTATCCGCGTCTCGAAGGCAGCGGCGGCATTCGGGAAGCTAGAGTACCATTGGCACGAAACTGATGGTGTACAAATCCATGGTGCTGTCCGTTTTTCTATACGGCAGTGAAACGTGGACGATGTACCGTCGGGATGTGCGATATCTCGAGCGGTTAAATCAGCAGTGCTTGCGGCGGATTATGCGCATCGGATGGGGCGACAGAGTTGCGGACACGGAAGTGTTGCATCGAAGTGGAATGTATGCAGTGGACTGCATACTCTTGCTGAGACACCTAAGGTGGCTCGGTCATGTGAGCCATATGGATTCCACGCAGGTACCGAAACAACTATTATTATATGGTCAGCTGAGTATTGGGAAGCGGCATGTGGGGAAACCAAAGTTACGTTACCAAGACATGATCAAAGTGAGCCTTTCACGTTCTAATCTTGACTGCAGGTCATGGGAATCGAAGGCGGTTGATCGGCGTGCATGACGCGACCTGACCACGAAGGCAGTTGCTGAAGTGCGGGAGAAAGACTTCATGCATACAGAGAAGAAGCGGTAAGCACCAATGGGTTGTACTCCATCGACATCAAGCGCATGGTACTGTAGCATACGTAGTCGAGAGTACCTGAGTCAGTCAGGCATAGTGAGCCATGAGCGAGGCCAATCGGGACCATTACCGAAGCGGCTACGGGTCCTACAGAGAATGTAGGCAGAACCGGCGAAGCGTTTGTAGGTACGCTGCATTCGATTTACTAACCGTGTGCTTACGTGCTAAGTCTCTTTATTTCAGTTGGTGGGTTTGCAATTTTGTCCCAATGCATTTCTTTCTCATTCTAATTTCTACCTGTACTATCGTCCATAAACTTGCAAACGTTGATGAAGCTAACTTCGATAACATTTTCGCGTTTTTGGCACTTACTTAAACTATGTTTTCTGATCACTTGAACCTAGCGCGGATCCGTTCGTGGCCAATTAATTTTATACACCCATTTATTGAAGAGTTACCCCGCCGTATCTTTATGCATTATCCGATTTATTTTATTTCATCTTGTCGTTTTAAGTGATTGGCTGCTGCTTGACACCCACGGGCGTGGCTGCGCTTGATGTGCATGTTGACAAGGTGCCTACATGTTGATTAACCGCTATGTCGTTCATAGTGGCTACAGGAGACAGCTGATAGTTACTGGAGGGGACAGGGTGCACGGTCCTTGTGGCCGTGCTAGGCTCAAAGAGCGGTTCCATGCACTCAGTGTGGAACTGACTGCGGTCCAGGCACCGCCTTGTGTGCGCTTGATTCCCCAAATACAGCGTGCTTGTGAAACGTGGCTCCCATCCACATGCCACCCGGTCTTATTCCTTAGGGTTTACACTGAATATGGGGTGTGTGATTGGAGCTGTGGGTGGTGCAGCGCAAACCATCCATAGTTCCTCTGTAGGCGCAGACGTCCTATTGCTGGCCACAGTGACAGGCAAATCCGAAATCGGATGCCGTCAACCATGTATGCTGCCCCATACTGAGGCTGATGTTGTATTCATAATGCTTCTTCACCGCAGTTGGGCTAAACCAACTTACACTTAAACTAGGTCTTTTTAATGTGGATAAAAATCATTCCACCTTATTTGGTTTGTTCTGCGTACCTGATAAACTTCTTCTAACTTGTGCACGTCCTTGGAATTTTTAAAATAACTTTCGGACATTTTGTACTTATCGCGGATTCGCTTGTAACCAATTTCTTCCACGTTTATTTAGCGAGCATTTATGTTATCAAATATGTTCACCTTATTCGACATTTTTCTATTTGATACCGGCATTTCGAATGATTGGGTGTTGTTTCACATCGCAGGTGTGGCTGCGCTTGATGTGCATGTTGACAAGATGCCCACCTGTCGATTAACCACTATCTCGTCCATCTGGCTCCAGCAGACAGTTGGTAGTTGCTGGAGGGGACGGGGTACACGGTCCTTGTGGTCGTGCTAGGCTCGAAGAGTGGTTCCATGAACTCATTGTGGAGCGGCCTAAGGTCCAGCCACCGCCTTGTGTGCGCTTGATTCCCAAACACAGCGTGTTTGTGTTTGCCTGTGAAGGAGGGTGGGCCGGCTTCGTTGATAAAACGTAGCCCTCATGCGCATGCCTCCCGGTCTTATTCCTTCGGGTTTACGTTGGATATTGGGTGTGTGGATGGAGCTGTGGGTGGTGCAGCGCAAGCCACCCATGGTCCCTCTGTAGGCACAGGCGTCCTGTGGCTGGCCACAGTGACAGACAATTCCGAAACCGGATGCGGCGAACCAAGCTCAGCAGTCTAGCAACTAGACATAGTGGCAACAAAATACCATGGGGATTAGCGCATAAAGGGAAGTCATCGCGTCATTATCATCGTGGCATGGTAGCTGAAGGTGAACAACAGACTTCAGCTACTGTGACGCAGGAAGAAAGGAGCTTCTTGAAGAAACGTAAAACAAAACATTTTGCTTGTTTTTCACACGCCGATTTTTCTCTTTTTTGTCAGTTTCAATGTTTGACGTATTAAACATGTATCAATACAATTATGTACACAATTCTTCCATAGATTCCGGTTGCGGGCCGTCTTCAAGAGTGTTAAGCCGTTGGCACTCCTCATATTTGGGTCCCCATCCTGGAAGACGTACGCA